GTCTTGGAAATTACATGAGATTCTACCTCTATCCCATCATGCTTTTCATTTCCTCTGAAGATGAAAAACTTAACTGTCTTGACCATTGACTTTTTAAGGATCCCTTCTGACTTAATTGCTGAGAAGATGCTTATCTATTATTGTCTGTGGTCACTGCTTCCAACATGCAATTCCGCCTCACAGTTTGTCACACACCCACAGGGTTCCTACACAGCCAGGCAGTGGTCATGATTCACAATCCCAAAGCACGCTTGCACATAATGAACTTGCCACATCAACCCAGCCCTGAAAAGGCAGCTCATCCTAATCTTAGAAATGAGGAATCTGAGATCCAGCTGCGAAGAGGTGGAATGGGCATTAGAATCCAGGTCTCTGACTCCTGGTCCAGTGCTCTCCACATGGCACATGTAGTCTGTGTACACATGCTCATTTACATGCCGCTGCTTTTATTCTACAGAATTTGTGGAATGCTTACTAAGTATGAGTCCCTATTCTAAGCTCCAGGTATATAAAAGTGACGTAAACAGATGTGGTCCCTCCTCGTGGCACTTAAGATAGCGAAAGGGAAACAAACAAGTGAACAGGTAATCCCATTATAGTGGGCTATTTACCTGTGACGAAAGAAGGTCAGAGTGCTGTGGAGCACATGGGATGACACCTATTGCCAACTTGCATGATCCTGGAAAATTGTCCAGAGGAAGAGACACCTCAGCCGAAAGTAAGGGATTAGGTAGAAATTAGGCAGATGAAGAGAGAGGTTCCAAGCAGAGGGAACAGCTCCAAAGTGAGAGAGAATATGACACTTTATGAAACTAAAAGTAATTCAGGCAAGCCTGGAAAGGCAGAGGGGTGCCAGAGAAGAATCTGGAGAAATAAAAAAGAACCAGAGCTTGAGGAGTCTAGTTGGCTGTGTTAAGGAATTTGGACTTTGTCCTGGTGTCACTGGGGAACCCTTGAAGAGTTTTAAGCGGGAGAATAACAAGATCAAGTTTGCATTTAAGGCCTATTCAGGCTAACATGTGGTAAGCAGCCCAAAGGCAGGTAGCGTGAATGCAGGGAGCCAAGCAAGCAACCGTTGAAGTAATCTGGGAAATTGATGACAGCTTCTCCTCTAAGGCCAATAGAAATAAAGCTAAGTGGAATGTTGTAAGAGATACTGAGAGTATAGAATGGACGAGACTCCAGGATTGAGTGAAGGAGCTAACGGAAGAAGGGCAAAGGATAATGTTCAGGTTACTGGGGTGAGCACATGAGTAAGTGCTGGTGCCCTATAATGAGATGAGGAGAGATGGGAGGAAAGGGGAAGGTCTTCAGGGAAGGTAGTCAGTTCTGCTTTGAAGACAATGAATTTTAGGGCATCCAATCTGCAGGGCATCAAATAGGCAGCTGGATTGGATATGGGGTCAGGAAATAAAGCAGGGCTGAAGAGGAGATTTGGGAGATGTCAGTAGAAATCACAAATGATGGCACTGGCATGAATGGAATGCCTAGAGAGAATAGTAACATGAGGACAGGGCTAGGACAAAACCTTGACAATTACCAACATTTAAGGAACAGGCTGCAGAAGAAAACCCTGCAAAGCAGGCAGAAGGAGCAGCCAAGGAGACAGGCATTAAAAACAGGAGAGCCAAGTGATGCGACATGAAAGCCAATAGAAAAGAATGTTTTTACTCTGGGGATAGTGCTCAGCACAATGCCAGGCGCATAGTAGGTGCAGTTGGATCAGTGAAGGCTGGATATCACGAGAAGCCAGGTGTGAAGGAAGAGCCAGCGCACTGCGTTCTTTCTCCCTTTCAAACCCAGGCCTTGCCTTAAGGCAGAGATTTTTTTCCTTGCCGTCCACAAAGCACCCTGCTGTCCCCGCACTGGAACTGTACCTGGAAACGCTGCACTCTCTAATGTGAGCCGCACAGCCAGTGGCTCCCTGATAGGAACGCTCGGCCCCAGCAGCGAGAGAACCTGGCTCACAGATGGTTCTGGCTGAGTCACAGAGCCTTCTATCTGGCCCTCCTTCAGGGCCTCCCTCGTAGGCCACATCTCCTCAGAAGTGAGCAGCAGCAGAGGATATTGTCCATGGTGCGGCGTGCCCTGGGGAAAGTCCGCGCAGGTGCACCACCTTAACCACATGTCGGTTCCCTGAGCCAAGTCGTTAATGGGAATGTGGCTCTTTTAGAAGGTCAGGAAATGGAGGCTCCTCCTGGCAAAGTGTGGATGAGCACAACTTAGACTAGGGCAGGAGGATGGGGAGGGAGTGGGACTGAGGAGACCGGCCAAGGAGGCGTGGAGGTGCAGGGTGGGCAAGGAAAAAAGTGGCAGAACTGGGGGGTCACCTTCTTTCTCAGCTCTTTGGTAACACTTCCTTTCCCTTCTCATCTCTCCCGCCTCCCTTTATATTCCCCCCTTTTTCCCTCAGTGCTGGGCTTCCTTAGGAAAGAGTTTGTCTTGACAACCAGGAATCAGGAACACATGTGGGTGGGGTGGCCTGGAGTGGTGACAGCTGCAGAGTGAAGGGAAAATGGTCTCATGAAGACGGGACAGGCCTCAGCCCACACCTCTTCAGTGGGTAAGCCCTTTTTAGCTTGGCACTGGGATGCAGAGAAGAGACCAGAACAGTTCACAGCTCCCCGCACAGTGTCTGCCAGCCCTGCTGCAGGGCGGCTCTTTGGAGAGTATTCACCACAGCACGGAGCAGCTCCCTCCACCATGCCCCCTGGACACCCTGGACACTGCCAGGAGCTTTATACCAGGCCTGTCAGGGCTTCTCCGAACAGTGCTACTGTGGGGATTGCCTGTTCTGCCTGCAATATCTTCCCTTTTCAGTCTCTAGTCTGCTTTCCTCCAGCACTGACATGAATTTCAGCAGCTTTGCAGCCTTGCTCTTGTATTTTCCTTATTCCAAAAAGTCTTAAACTTCCAGAACTCCACATAAATGGCAATAAGAGGAATCATTCATTGAGCAATGACGAACTATCAAATCCTATGAATTTCTAGATACTGGAGATGGACAGGGCGGCCATCAAACATTTCTAGTCCCCCGACTTGGCAGAACTTAAAGTATGAAGGTAAACCTCATCTTCTGAGTAGCCTGGACCAAACCTCAGATAATGGCTGCCCAGTAAAGGAAAGTGTGAGCCCACAGAGCCCAGCACAGTCATATGAATGTTTGCTGAACTAGATTCAATCTGAATGGCATCAAATGGAACTGTACTTCTCTCTGGAAGGTGACAGGCCTTAGCTAAAGAGAGGACATGCATAATCTATGATGAGCCCGAACATCCTTAATGAGGGAACTAGGGGTAGAATCCCAAGAAACCCAAAACTGAGAGAAAATTTTTAGTCCCCTTCCCTAGAAACTTCCTGTCTGCAGTCACAGGCCAAGTAGACAGACTCGGAAAATAGCAATGACATAATTCACACCTCTTTTCATCAAGCACAGAGCAGTCGTGGAACTCTGGCCTTTGCTTATGTTGTTCCCCTGCCTGGAATGCCCTCCTCTCTTCACTTTCTCTAACAAAATCCTATGCAACTAAAGTATTTACGGATGAAACAGTATATCCAGGATGTACCAAGATCCAGATAGATTTGGAAGGTGTGAGAAGTTTGAGAGAGAAGAGATAGTGAAAATCAAATTGATCCAGTGCTAACAATTCATGAAATATAATGGTAGGTTACAGAGGGTTCATTTTGTTATTCAATTTTGTATATACTTGGAAATTTCCATAATAAAAAGTTTTCTAAAAACTCATATATAGCCATAAAATCTAGATCAATATTACCTTGTACATGAAGTCTTCCTGACTACTACCCACTCATGGATAGGACTCTCCCTAGTCATTCCTATGGTATGGCCAGTGTTATCCACAGTAGCACAATGATTTGCTATAGCCACATATTATGTATTTGTTTCATAGATTTTCAGTTGCCTCTTAAATTTCATGGCATAAAGGAGAAGACGGGAAAGCAACTGACATTTCATAAGGTCCTGGACTTCATGTTTCTCATATAGGCCATATCCTACATCACTTCTCCACCACAAGGTTAGGCTCTCCATGATGGTTCATAAATATTTGTTGGGAAATACAGAGGAATCATTAAGTAAACATCAATACAACTATCTAGTGAACTAGTAAGCAGCCATCAAAGATAATGGAGAAGTTTCTAATGACATGGGGGAAAGACTTATGAAAAAAAATCAAAGCACAAAATCATATGTATGGTATGATCTTAACTCTATAAAAACTGGCTAGAAAAAAAGACCAGATCGATCTCAAAATGTGCTTATTTCTGGGTGGGGGGTGATTTGAGGTTTTTTCCTTGTTTTTATATTTTCAAAATGTGGTTTAACATCATAACAGGAGTCAGCAAACTTTTTCTATAAAAGGCCAGATAGTAAATATTTTTGGCTTTGTAAGTCATAAAGTCTCTGTCGCATCTACTCAACTCTGCCATTGTAGCACAAAGCAACCATAAACAATATGTAAATTATGGGTGTGGCCATGTTCCAATACAACTTTGTTTATAGAAACAGGTGTTAGGCCAGATTTGTCTCATGACCACCCATAGTTTGCTGACCTTTGATTTATGACTTCATAATCAGAGAAAAAAAGTTACTTAAGTGATATTTAGTGTGTATTCTTTGACTGTAACTATAAGATCCTGATACTATGATTAAGAGAGCATGCATAGTACAGAAAGCTTAGAGCCATGCTTTATTTTGGTATCCTTGCATCAAAAAACACTAGAAATTGAAAGTCATAAATTAGTGAATATGAGAATGAAAATTCTATGCTCAGTGGAGGAGTAAAATTTATAATGCCAGTAATTAATATAAAATTTATCTCTAATATAATTACCTTAACATATTTCATTTATTTGGGTTTTCTTTTATGTTTTTTAATAAAGTTTTATAATATTTTAGAGAACTCTCAGAAATCCATTATTTTTAAAACTCAGTTTAGGATGAAGAGAAAAGGTTAAACTGCCTTTTTTTTTTCTTCCAGATTTTCTGAAGCAAAGGCCCTGGGGGAAAATATAAACGAAGCAAGAAGTAAAATTGGTAAGCAGATGATATTCTCTAAGCCTCTTTCACAGACCATTTTCCTGGTGAAAATCAGGTCATGATGTGCCTCCAAATAGCCATGGAGCCTAGTTGCAGGAGAGTACTGCCAAGGAAGCCGCTTTGAGAGTGCCTTTCCTTGGAAGTTTGTCATCCCTCCCCTCATCCATCAGGAAAAGCTATTTCTTTGTCTAAAACTTGAACTTTTAATCCTCATGTAGTCCTGAGCTCTAACATCCCAATGAGAAAGGTTTGCTTTTCCCAGGTGTTTTTTAGCAATAGCTCAGCTGGTTAAGCCACACGATTACAGTGAAGTTTCATATTTTCGAGTGCTATGAGACACTTTTACACCTCCCAAAACTTCTACTTAGTGTTTCTGGCACAGGTGCTCACTTTTCAGTGCCATTCAGTAAGCCAGTGGGAGGATGAGAAGCAAAAATGAGCCACTGTGCCTTCCCAGGGCACAGGCTGCTGAGCAGGGCTTCCCTACTTAGGTGAGCATCCCTGGAAAGTGAGGTTAATGCGAGAGGCGCACACAACAAAACATGCCTCGTATCTTTGTTACAGTGAGAGGAAAATGTGGCTTTCATTCCAAGCTAGAAGACACATGGAGATTCATCTCCCAGGCTGGGGCAGCTTCACAGAGGGAAGGCAGAAGTTACCTATCTGTTCATTGCTAACTCCTTGAGTTTCTCTTGTCTTCACTCACCTTTCCTAAATGACAATGGGACAAAGGCCACTCTGAATTTCTCTTTTGGCTTTTTCTACAGAATATTGAAATTCATGTTAGTCTCTGGTTGTTTCAGCTAAGGAACAGGAGCCCTACGTTCTGTTCATTGACCCAAAAGGAAAGGGCTGAGGCAGCCAGGACCTAAGCCATGCCCAGCACCAGGCCGAGAATCTCCATAGTCTTAGAGATTCCTAACCTCAAGTCCAGGATTTTGGATGGGGAAAACGTGCACCTTGATTTTCACTAACCTCTAACTACAGTTTAGCACTGCCTTCAATGATGAGTGTAGGCAGCAGATCACAGTAATACCAGCGGCACCTGTCACCAGTGGAAATCAGAGACATTTTCATTTCACGGCACAGTTGTCAGACATCAGAAAATATCTTTTATACTTATCAGTACTTCAAAATTACAGTAGTTATTAGACTCACCATTAGATCTGATTATTTGATACATTTATAGAAAAGCACATAGATATTCCTATATCACAAAAAGTTTTAAATTTTTGATAAGTCTTCCAATGTAATTGGGTTCTCTTAAAATCCTATGTAAAAATTCTTTCTTAGCCTGCATTTCCAAACCTTCTGAAACCACATGGAAAAAAAAATTGGAGCTTAAGAGTATATATGTATTTTTTTTTCTGAAGATAATATTCATAGTTTACCTGATTTTCAAAGGCATTGGTGACCCAAAACCATAAGGAAATTGATTCTAGACCTAGGCCCCATCAACAGTGCCAGGGCTTCAACAGGAAAGCAGACACCCTGCTCAGGAGCAGCCCAGAATCAGCAGCAGGGTAGTGCTGGCTTACCTGGCTGGGTGGCCTGGAAGCGAAGGAAGCAGGGAGGGACCAGGAAGCAGTCTTCAGTGGATCTGGGGCCAACTTCTCAGCCTCATCTGACTCAAAGGACCCGATAGTCTGTTTTCATTCCTGGACAAGAAGAGGGAAAAGCCTTTTACAAATTGCTTCTTCACCAAAGGTAATATAAGGTTTTGCTCTTGAAAAAAATATCTAACTCTCTAAACAAAAACAAAACCGTTCCAACACTAATGAAATAGATTACCGATAGAAGGCACCGGTGGCCTATGCTAATATACTTAGCTTTTTACTCTGAGTACCTTGGGTTCTTTTACAAAGGATTCTAAATTCTCTATCATTTCGGCGCAATAATATATGTCGATGGATCCAGTTTGCCACATTCTTGAGATTAAGCAAGTTGGAGGTTGCCCTGCAGCTCTGTAGGTTGTGCTCTGCCCCAGAACCAGCAGCCAAGGGTGTGAGGGCTATAATTGATCTTTCACAGAGGATGTTTGTAGTTCACACATAAAGGGTCCATGTATGCTAGCAGAAGACCTGGGGAAGTAGACCTTTGTTTTTTCTGGATACTAACAATTAGGGTTCATACCAATATTGAGATTCAAGCATTCACTGCTAACAAGAAAGTAGCTAGTTCAGTGGTGCTAATAAAGCCAATGTCACTCTTACTTCATTTTAAGCAGACTAAGACTCATCTTATAGCCACTCATCATTCAAATGTGCTCTTGATCCGAAGGCGACCAGGTGAGTGATTCACTGAGACTAAGCCCCATTACTGAACAAGCCCCTCATGGTGCTTCACAACAAGGATTAGCCCATCACTGCATCTCAGATGCAAGGTGAAGATTAAGGAGATATAAGGAGGAACTTGCACATATATTTAAAATTTCCAAGGCAACCTTGAAGGAAACTGATTTCAGGAGATTTATGACATTACTGAATCACAAATCTTTCATTTCTTCCTAGGGAGAAATTAGATCAAGTGAAATTTTCAGTCCCCATGAATCCTTTAGCGAATCTAAGAGTCAGGAGGTGGGAGCGTGGCACAGATGTGTCACTATATGCTTGGGATGATGACTCAGCTTCGCTCCCAAACTGTGCTACGTCTTGCCTCCGGACCCTGAGGCAGAAATGGGATGTTGTGGAGTGCACATGTAATTGGCCTGCAGAGAGGAAATGAAAGCCGTATGTGTAAACCACAGATCAACTAGCCCACGTGTTTAAAGGTTAGGTTGCCACTTTCTTCTCAGGTAATTTGGTTTTTATCTGACATTGTGATCCAAAGCTGCCATTTGAGTTTCATTCTCAAAAATCTCTAGAGTCTATCAATTCAGTGGTGACCACATAATATCAATTTTTACATGGCATAATCAGTAAATCTAAAACTTTCATATTATTTCTTTCCTTATAACAAGCCAACCCAAACTAGGTAGATAAACTCTTGCCACAAACTCTTTTTTTGTCCATCTCTGTACATCATTTACATCAATCCTGATGGTGAAACAAGTTAAGATCAAAAATGGGAAAAATAACCAATTTAAAATCTCCCTTAAAAAAATAATAGAATCTTTGTTTCCACATGGGGAGCCATTTTCATTGTATTTACCTATCCCATACACAAGACATTTAGGCTGCTTCTCATCATATGGGCTGTGTTTTGAACTTGTTCATATACACCCTGATTTCATTCATTATATCTCTAAAAATGCCATAGTTCCCAAACTGCAGGAAAAAAAATAGACTGCTTTGGAAGTAGTGGCAAAAACCAGGCCATTTTTCACTTATTAGAATTCTGGCATTAGTTTTTCTACATCAGTGTTCTTCCACTGGCAGCATTACCTTTGGCAGCAAAGGACAATGGAGGCTGTTCCTTGGCACAAGGCCCTCTCCTAGACCAGTCCAGGAACCAACTGCCTTGGAGGCAGGTGAAAGGGTTCGACTGACACCTCTTGGCACCTCTTCATCCTCTCCAGACCCCTTCAGGCCTAAATGAAAAGTAACATCACAGGATTCTGCACAGAAGTTTTTTTTATTAGTGCTCCAATCCATGATTGATTCAAAAATCACAGGAAATGTTATAGATGTAACTGTCAGTGAGAGGTGAAGAGAAAAGGCAAACATTAGAAAAGGTAACAAAACGTTCTGAAAGTTTTCTTTCTCCTGCTCCAAATTCAAAGAAGGACCCCAATCTGAACAGCACTCTTAAAAAATGTTTCTCGTGCATTTGTGGTTTGATATTATCAGAACTGGGTCTCCATTAGCAGAATAAATAGGACTACTTTTCAGTTTGTGCATTTTCTGTACTTTAATCTTCCTTTGAGATTTATTTCTAGACCTACTTATAAAGTTACCTTTTAGTATCTTATCCTGGAGGAGGGGAAGATTACATCCAGGTCATTTTGTTAGATTATGAAGACCCGAATCAAGTACTCTTTTGTTACTATTTGTCACCAGTTCCAAACAACAACTACATCAAAAATAGCCTCCACCATTTATTGAACACTGACACTGCGCTGTGCCAAGAACTTGACTTACGTTATCCCATTTAATCCTCACAGAGAGTCTATTAATATAAGGGGGTATTAACATATGTCATATATTCTGAGATACACAATTTTTACAGTGTTAACACCTCAAATCAGGATATATTTGACCATCCCACTTGGCTATTTTTTCACGTTTTAAAAACTTCTATAATAAGAATGAGCCTTACAGTTGATGTAGTCTATATTCTACGAAGTATGGTATTATTATTATTTTACAGATTAAAAAATGGAGTTTCAGTGAGGTGACCTACTAAGTGGCCAAACTGGAATTAAAATCCATTTCTGTCCAACGCCAACTTTTAAATACAATATGCTATCTCTATAAATTCACGTTTATTTGACTTTGACATTTTCTTCTGAGTTAAAAATTTTGCTAAGCTAATACTCAGTTTTCCTGAGTATTTGGCCTTTATCCTACATGATATGCCCAAAAACAGGCTCAAATGAGCCCCTAATTCATGCGCACATAGCCTAAAAAGATTAAAGGGGTCTCTGTAGCATGATTAACGATAGGTCATCTTCGCACAATGGGGCTCAGTCGTAGCAGCGAGTAGAATCTGAAACCCAGCCTGCCCTTGCTCTCCAGACTCCACGCGTACTGGCCCGGGGTTGCAGCTGCCCTTCCATAGTTTGCAGAAAAGTGTACTATGGGCTCGCAGCAGCCCTGGAAAGATTCTGTGTCCCACAGGGGTTTCAACTATTATTTTCAAGGGTTTAGAATATAGAAGGTTTGTATGTTCAGTCCGTATACAGTTCCAACTGAGTGGGTTTACTGATGCTTCAGAAAACATGAGAGAATTCAAAATGTAAACTTAGATGAGATTTAGTAGGAATAAGTGGAATGAAGTACTTATGCTTAAGTACCAAAGCCAGCATGGATAAGGACTAAAGAAAGCCTGATTATGGT